AATATAAATAATAATAAAGAAAGAATGAATAAAATTATAAAGAAAATAATTAATTAAAAATATTAATAATTTAAATTTGTATTGTAATACACATGGTGATCATCTGAATAACAATGTGTTAAATCTAGATATATTTAATATATAATGATAATCTGTGTATCCAGAGTGAAAATGATCATCTTAAAAATGTAATATAAAGCTAATCTATTATACAGATAGTGCAAAATGAAGATTTAAGCAAAAGAGATCTAAAGAGAGATAATCTAATCAAAATTATTACATAAACTAAAAGTTATTATAATAAAAAGAATAATAATAATTAACAAAAGAATAATAAGTTCAAAGATATATACTATAATTATAATAAATTAGATTATTTTATAAAGAATTATTATTTAAAATTAAAGATCAAGATAATAAATATTAAAGATACTCAAGAAAATTCTTGCATTAAAATAAAAAAGTAGAATTTACTTATTTAAAAGATAATTATAAAAGTTTATTAAAGTTTAATAGTTAAATAAATAGTAAATTAGTATAAATATTACTAGATAATGACATATTTAAAAACTTTATTAATAAAAAGTTTGTATAGAAAAATAAAATAAAATTATAAAAAATAATATTAGTAATTATAAAACTTGTAAATAGTAAGAAAATTATTATTATCATCATGATAAAAATTAATGAACTAAAATAAATTAAATACATACAAAATATATAAAATAGATATATAAGTATTAAAATTACAAAAATATAATCTTATCTTAAATAAATCTTAATTATTTTATATAATTTAATAATAAATTAGAGAAATAATAATATTATTATTATTTATAATTCAAAAATAATTAAAATTCAATAAAATTTTATTAATATAATAAAAAAATTTAATATTATATAGTAAATCTAAATATAATAAAATAAGTTATTTTTTTTAATATAATCAGATTTTTATTATATTTAAATATTAAATAAAAATTTAACATATTAAGAAATTTTATTATAAATAAAAATTTATTTTATTTAGATTTTATTATATTTATTATATATTATTAATTTTTTTATATATTTTAACTAAAAAATATTTTTTTATTTTATATTTATATTATTTTTCATTTATTATTTATATAAAAATAATATTTATCATATATAATTATAATATATTCTTTTTTATTTGAATTAAAAATTAATTTTATAATTTAATTAAAATTATTATTATCAAAATTTTTTATATTATTTATATATAAATTTTTTTTAATTATTCTTATTTATCTATTATAATATTTAATTATTTACAGTATAATTATTATAAAATATATCTTTTCTTAATTTATTATATTTAAAGTCTTATAAATATATATATTGATAATAAATTTCTTTTTTAATAAATATCTTTATTAAAAAAATTAACTTACTTGATATATATTTTTAATTAAATTATTATATAACTTTGTTTTTTAAAATATTATAACTTTTTATTTATTTTTTTTAAAAATTTTAAATTATAAGTTTATAGAGCTTATCATAAAGAATAAATTTGTAATTTAAATTTTTTTCATATAATTAACTATAATATTTTTAAATTTATCTTACTTTATTATCTAATCTAAATAATTATAATTTAATCAAAGTATTAATTATAGTAAATCTATCCTGTTAAACCAAATTTATCATTTGTATTAATTATATAAATATATATTAATATAAAATATTAATTAATATATTATCTACGTATATTACTAATTGATATGTATTATAAATAAATTAATATTAATAAGAAAACAAGAATGAGTTAAAAAAAAAATAAGAATAAAATTGAAAAGAAATGAATATGAGAAAAATTAAAAAAAATAATAAAAGAAAAAATATGACCTTGGAGAGAATAGAATTGCTCTTAATATGAATGGACTTTAATCGATTAACTAGATCAATTAGTGATTCAACACAAATATGAATTTAATTCTTTTATTAAATATCAAATATGATATCAAAATGATGTTAGTTTTATTTAAATAATCACATGAACATAAATTATCATGTTACTACAATTTTTCAATAATTTTCTTTGCTAGATCTTCTAATTCTTGGTTTGAAGCCTTGGAAGAAGGCCACTCAATAATTAAACCTGAACCATCTTCTTGCTTAGGAATCTAACAATATTAGATAAAGAATCAATATAATCCTAATAAACAGTTAAACATTAACAATAAATACTTACCACATGAAAGTGAACGTGTTTAACAACCTGCATAAAAATGAAGGAAAAACAATATATTTTTTGTAATAAATAATATACTTATCTGACTCTTTTATTTTTACCTGATGTGCACGCGGTCCATTATTCTAAGGTAAATAATAAAATAATAAATTTTGAAAAGAATTCGCGTAAATATCAAAAGCACCTGAGCTTTACCTGCAAGATATTGTATTGAGTTTCTTCAGTCGCAGCAGTTACAGCAACTGCAACTTTTTTCGCGACCGGTAAAAGATCAGCCAGATTTTCATCAGGAAGTTGATGCAAAAATTCGGTATGATCTATTTATTTCGCATTTTTATTATAAATTTATTTTCGTGCATTGTAGAAAATCTGCGTCTCAAAGTTAGGTAGTATACCATTGGAAAAATGACATACATTTCGGGACTACAAGCTGAAAAAGTTTTAAAAGTTCTTGAATGTAGAAATATAATAATACTAAAAAATCATAAATTTCATAGAATTAAAGCTTACCGAGTGCCCTTTACTCAAGGGAAAGATATCAAGGAAGGCATAACTTCAGGCGAAACAAGTTCACTCTATTATTTAAACAAGCATACTTGTAAAATGGCATTGAAGATAGAAATTTTACCTATGCTCCGTCTCGATAAGCTTATTAGAGGGAATTTCACGCTTTATAATTTTGCAAAAAAGGCAATCAGCGAGAGACTTTGACATGATAAAATGGTTTAATTCTGTTAGCGAAACATGCACGATCTAATTTTAGGTTGTTAGTTTGTCACGTGAACGTCAAATACATCGTTACATTGTCCCTGCTGTTTTCAAACAACGAAACTTACCTACAGCATGGATCCGTATCGACCAACACCACCTTATGGTAAAAGCATACTTTAGTTAATTGATTTCCGATTGTGTTCCTTAAAGCCCGCTAAAATTTGGTTAAAAATATAGCACCTTATCGTCCACAGCAATATGTGCCTCCTGCTGGAGGGCCACCAAATGTTCAAGGATATGGGCAGCCTCCTCGGCCTGCATATATGCCAGGAGTACCAACACAACGTCCTAACTACATGAATCCTGCACAGAGACCCCCTTTTGGCGCCATGCCAATGAGTGGTGCACAACCAATGTTAGGACAGGCAGAGGCGGAAAAATTAACGACACTGTTCATTGGAGGCATATCGCCTGGTGTGACTGATGATTGGATGGAAAAAATTCTCAAGGTAGTGAATAGTTAATTTCAAATCTCAGGGTGGGTACGTGTGTATATCGCCTTTAGTCAACAAGTTGACGATATTTTACCTAATCGAAGGAAAAACAAGAAACAAGTTGGTTTTGGTGATTCTTATTAAGCATCGGGGCTGTAGTGGACGAATATCAGTGTATTAATTGGAGGTTTGATACTATTGCTTTATTCGCAATTCAAAAAAGATCTCAAAGCTAGTGTCTATCGTGTGTAAATTCCTGTTATGATAAATAATAGGTTAAACTTATTGATAGATCAGGATCAAAATGATTTTCATTTGGTTTGCTTGCTTTTATCTATAAAAAATTATGGGCTATAAAATAATCTCAGGTCTGCTTACACCGCACGCTGCTAACCCTTCATTCTTGACCCTTATTCTATTCGCATTCTTGAAAAATAATTAAGACGTGCGGCAATTTAAAGTCATGGAAACGGGTGAAAGATCAAGCAAAGCCCAAAGGATTCGGTTTTGCTGAATATATGGATGCTGACAGTGTTCTACGTGCTTTGCGTGTGTTGGGCGGAGAAGGATCAGGTGATGATAAAAAAGATAAAGGTGTTATTTTGCCTGCTTTGGAAGAAGGAGCTGTTGGGAAAAAATTGATTGTAAGTCATCTTTCTGTAAATATGATCAAGTTGTTCATTTATTAATGAGTCACTATACCTCTTTATTTAATAGGTAAAGGTTGATGACAACACACGAAAATTTTTAGATCAATATGAAGTATCAAGACCCAGAACAGTGGTATTTATACAAAATTTAACCAACATATGTTTTGTCAGAAAATTATGCATCTAACTTGATGCAATTGCAGCATGATACAGAATTGGATAAAAATGCACTTTTAGCGGTTATAGATGTAGTTGAAGAAATGACAAAACCACCACCAGAGCAAAACACCTCACCTACAGCATCTTCCCATCCTGATAATAAATCACTTGCTCCATCGTCCCCTCGGCCTGAAAATGTTGAGCGAGATGAAGAAACTGATTTACCAGCCGATCTACCGCCTGAACAAAAAGACTTGATATATAGAGAAATAGCATTTTTCAGAGAACGTGCGGCTCAACGAGAACGGGAACGTCAAAAAGAGGAGGAGGAACGGGCTAGTCGTAGAACAAGAGCCGAACAAGCTAGGCAGGAGCGTTCTCGTGCTAGTGAAACAAGAGAAAGAGAGAGATCTTTTGGACATTATCATCAATCTGCTAATTTTGCTCCTTCAAGGGATGAAAGGCGTGAGTCTATGCCATATGATGATGAAGAGGAGGAGCGGAGAAGACGAGCAAAAAGAGAAAAAGAATTGGAGATGGCTTTTAAAGAGGTATTTCAAGTTGAGTTTATGTATTATATATTTCACATTTATTTATGTGTTTAAATTTTTATATTAGCGAGAACGCCGCTGGGAGGCTCGAGAAGCGACTGTAGCTCGAGGTTATGAACGTGAAGATCAAAGAGAAATAGATCAGAGAGAAAAAGAAATAAGGGACCGTGAATTGGCAGCAAGAAAATTTGCTGAATGGGATGATGACCTTGAAGCCGAACGAGGTGTTGAGGAATATTATAGAGATCGGTTCGATTTCATTATTTTTTCTATTATAAATGATAATGTCAAGAAGAATTTACTGCATATATCTAAAAACAATTTTATCAATACAAATAGAACTCGTTGGTGGCATCATCGTCAACAATTTAGAGCACGAGAATTGGCCCAGGACGAACAAGACAGGATTCATGAGGAGCAGGAAATTGAAGCTGAAAAACGCCGACAAGAATGGGAAAAGATGCTAGAAGAAGAGAAAAAACAACGTACAGAGGCAGAAGCATCAGAATCAAATGGCAAAACAGCTGCTATTTTAACAACACATCCGCCATCGAATGGTGATGTACAAATTGGTAATAATGGTAAATCTAAAAAACTGACACTTAATATTTCAAATAAGCGGCGAACTACATTAATCGCTCCCGCTGAGGAGGGGGAAGATTCCGATGACGAGGAAACAGATGCCAAAAAGAAAAAGCGTGTCTTGGTTCCATTGGAATACAGTGATGACGATGACGATGAAAAGAAAACAGAAGATAGGAAGAGGAAAATCACAGATTTAGTGGCGACCATTCCGACAGATAAAGAAGGACTTTGGAATTGGAATGTCAAATGGGAGGAATTAGACGAGGTAAGTGATAATATGTGATTTGACAGCGGTCTATTCATTATTGTATAATATACCGTGAAATTCTTTTGGAAATCGTGATTTCGCATACAGCAAATTCTCAGTCAAAAATTGCAGCCGTTTATCAGTAAAAAAATTGTCGGTTATCTCGGTGTACAGGAAGATGAACTTGTTTATTTTGTAATGGATCATTTACGAAATAAAAAATCTGCTATAGAACTTACAAAAGAAATGGAACAGGTACCAAATACTTATCGATACTATTGGAAATCTTAGTGCGTATACATCATTAATCTGTACTAAATTTTTGTCATGTCTAATCTAGACATTGGATGAAGAATCAGAATTATTTGTGATGAAATTGTGGCGAATGTTGATATATGAAACTGAAAGCAAAGCAAGAAAAATTCAGTGAATAATTTTATTGGGATAAAAAAAGGAATTCGGGTACGTGTTAATGATTCTTAATATTAGAAACAATGATCAGCACCTTTACGATTTAATTTGTGCTAATAAAGATGACTAGCTACAATTATTACTAAATCATTTTTGGGTTCGGAAATTCAAGTCTTCTATGTATTCTAGTTAAAATTTCAATGTAATCAGGCTCTTTGTCGGGTGTTATTATAGAATGCCGAATAAAAAAATCAATAACGACTAAATACAAGAAAATCAGTATCTTATAACGCTCATAATTTCTTTTTAATGATTCTTTATACTAACCTAATGCACAGTTAGGCTTGAAATTCCCTTCTAATAAATTTTTTTTGACCTATTGTTTAAAAATAGATGAGTAAGAGACAATAAAAAAAATATATATATATTCCAAAAATTAATTACCTCGTCAGTATCCCATAAGTAAAAGCATTCAACCTCATCATCTAAAGGTTTTGGTCGAACATCCACAGGAAACTCTAGATCATATATATATCTAATTTATGTTAGAGAAATTACGTAATGCTACTAACTGAGTTTCTGGATGAACATCTACAGGAAACTCCAAATTATCTAATTTATGTTAGAGAATTTGAATTAAACCACCAAATTCGTTTATGATCACGTAATACTAACTGAGTTTCTGGTTGAAGCCCAAATTTCGTAACGGTAAAATACGTAATTGCGCTTGTTGGTACTGCTGTGCTTGAAATATCGGCAGATACATTGGCTTCTTCCATTGCCTCTTTTACAATGGTCTCGTTGATAGAAAATCCGTATGTTATGCCGCCAGCAATAGTATTATCCAATTTTCCAGGCCATGTGGGTTTAGTTGATGCACGCTTAGCAATCCACATTTTAATCACTCCTTCTGGAGTTTTGACATATCCATTCAAATGGACTCCAAAAGTTGGAATACCGAGAATGGGAGTGGCTGCACGTTCCATGACAAAAGCCACATTGAAAGGATGATTGATATCCCCATAAACTGGATATAGCTCATTCCGCCAACCTTTTCGTTAATTTAAAAATCATAAAACGTGATTAAACTATAACTGGAATGATCACGAGCTATTTATTTACCTTCCAAAGCAGCAAATTTTTTCTCGGACCTCAAAGTATCAAATAATTGCTTCATCGCTTCTGTACGTTCTTGGAAATTGGTTATATGCGCTGAAAAAGTGACATTTTTTTCACTAATTTCTAAAGGAGCTGGGTCAAGACGACTGTTATATTCTCGTAATATATCAATTGTAGAAGGTAATAAAATGCCAATTTTGGTTTTATTTAAAGTTAATGGAACAACATTTGAAAATTCTGCAGAGCTATCGGGATAGGGAAAGTTGTCACAAATCTCCACAATTTGAAGGAAAGTATGCATGGTAATGTAATTTTGAGATGGATCACTTAAGAGAATATTTATATTATTATTCCTATTTTAGGAAAATTAAGTGAATATTTTTAATTAATGAAATTTTAACTTCATACTCAGAAATAACTTTTAAACTGATCAGATGATTTGCTACATATTTAAGTATTTTGCCATGGACAAGCATGTAATGTTAACTAATCAAAAATGTAAGCATCATGTGATTTAAAGGGTAAACCAATCAGAACGCAAGATATGTATTTGTTTTTCATAACGTGCACACGTAAAAATTAAGTATATTATGTCGATCGATTTAAAAATCGATTAATCAGGGGTACCGTTAATGCGGAGTAGTGCCCAGCCACGATTGGCGCCACATAGTCTGGTGATCTGTGGCATGATAGGACACGTGTTCGTATGTCTGTTAAATTACGAGATATTCATATGTCTGTACGTCTGAACGCCTGTACGCTTGTACGCACGTAACTGTGATTAAATTATGAGACATTCATATGTCTACGGCTAAATTACGAGACAAAGAATAAGTTTATTGTGGTATAATAATAATATGAGGCTTTTTTTCTCTTGTTGACTTTAAAATGAGACGGATTTGTTGGGGAGTCTGGTATATGGTATTTCTCTGGTAAATAACGAGCATTTCAGACCGAATGCGAGTGTCCGGAAAGTATCCCCACCAGAACCAATCATCCAACTGAATGCTTTCTCTTGACTTTTAAGTTGTGGTATTTAGTTCTATAGGAATTTATATTAATACTTTTTTTTTTTACAACACCATCTTCAACAAGAACTGTTAATTATCATTATCACCACTCCATCATCGCATCTATCATTATCACTTCACCACCGCATCCATTATATCATCTCTACTATCTTCATCATCATTGCTTCTTACCATCACCATTATCATCATCTTGACTATTTCCAATAGATACTTCTTGTCTTATTTCAGATGAAAAACAGATTCTTCTTTTTAATGTACAAAATGCATTTGAGATTTCAGATGAAGAATTTGATAATGATTGGTGATCCTTGATTTTAAATATATGAACTCAATTCAATTCTTATAAACTCATTAATGGTAATTCCTAGAAGATTTTTACGTGTCAGTTTACAAAACATCAAAACTCAAGCATGTGATAAAATGAAGATATCCCAAATGAGAAATACAGAAAAACAATGATTCAACCATCTGAACTTTGTTATGCCAAAATTAAAATTACGTGATTAGTTTCCTTCAAGAAGATTCAAATCAAATACTATAATAATTCACCAAATCATACACATACTCTAAAAGAAAGTGATCAAGTCAAATATTCAGAGATCATTTGAATTCTGATTAAACAAGAAGTAATAAAAAATTATCTATTAGTAGCAATTATTAATGCTGTTAAGGAGTATGCAACTAATAAACTAAATCTTGATACTAGTATTCAAAACTTAAAATGGAAAGAAGTCACAAATATTAGATACAAACTTCATAGATCTATAGAGATTTGCTTTATTGATAGTACCAACTTAAAGTCAGATATTTTGGAAACTGTATCCTATTTAAATGAATAAGAATATCATGTTAAGCATTATCATATTTCAATCAGTTTACTGAAGATATTATTTTCGTATATTCTAAGTAATTTGAAAAACTATGACATCATGGCTGGCTTACTTTAATTGATTCTACATATAAAATAAATAAATATGATTGGTATCTATTTACTTTATATTTTCATGATGACTATAGATACTGGAATATTGGTACTCACTTTTTTGTAAGTAATAAAGATAGTGAGACAGTTACTAAAGTACTACAAATAATCTGAAATAAATATCCTTACTGGATGCTCCAGTATATTCTTATGAATCAGAATAATATTAAAGTCAATAGTATAAAGCGAGTTTTTCCTGGTTTTCTTGATGGTGAACAATAATGTGATATAATTCTTTGCACTGTTCACATTATGTGGACATAGATAACAAAAATTTATGAAAAAAAGCTCAGAAAACTATGATCCTAGTGATGCATAAAAAACAAAAATCAGTTGTGAGCAATTGATTCAAGAAGCTATCCATTCTTGTATGGTTCTGACAATCTGTAAATACATTAAAAAAAACTATCTTAAAAATAATTATCAATAGGCTCTCTGGGCTCATTAACACTCATCTCTTCTTTTATAGATTACTTTTACAAATGCGCTTGAATTCTATTATAAGAAGCTAAAATGAATAACATCTCACTTGCATAGATTAATTAGTAAGAATTAGAGATTTAAGTTAGTAAGTTTGGAGAGTTTTGATAAGTCAGAAATTTTTGAGAAGTTGAAATCTTTGTATGCTAATATGATATATCGCTTTTCTCTTTTTGATTACTAATTTGTACTTGATCTTTATTTTAGATACTTCCCATAAAATTATCACTCTTGATCACAAGAAGCAAGCTGATTCTGAAAGTATCACCTTTAATTTCTGAACAAAAAAAATATCTATCTACAGTATTGATAATAAAATTCTCAAAGAAATCTATCAGTTTTCCTTCCTCATGCAACAAATACTTATCAAAGAGGCTTTTATAATGATGGATAAACTGATAAAAGGCAAGGGTATACCAGAATTTATTTCACTTGATTATTATTATCTGTTCCATAATCGTTATATGTTGCCATATAAATATATTTTTCATGAATATATGTATGGTACCACTAAGTTATTGACTACTGATGCTTGGAGGATGTTTCAAGAACTATTTGAGAAAAGTAGCTTCAAAGTATATCATCATCATGAATTTGTAATGACAGAGATGCCTAAACAAACTGGAAAAGAAAAAAGAGCAGAAAATCAGTAGCTTATGATAAATGAATTAACTGAAAGATTGCGTAATAAATATTGGGAAGTTAAAGAGAGGAGTAATGGTAGGCAAACAGAGATGTTTATTTTTAAGCTGAAAACTTCTTTAAATCCTATTTTTAGTAAGCTTGATGCAATTTAATTTTATTATAATTTTTTCATTACAACTTTTTTT